GAGATGCCAGCTTTTGCCCGTCAGTTTCCAAAGCAAAACCCGGGCCATGTTCTTGCGCATCCAGCATCACCAGCAGCAACGAGGCTCGTCATGTCAAAGCAGGTCCGAGCAGCAACAGAACTCTTACCGGCGGCCTACGCAGTCACGACGAGGTCTGCACTGTCGGAACCCCGGGAGCCTTATTTTGCATTGAGGCCCGATCAGGGTCATTCTGCATATGTGCACCAAAGTCGCAATAGAGATGCGCCAGCGGGCCAATATGCACCACCAAACACCCTTCCCAGAAAGCATCTTGCCCTTATCGGCGGCTTGGTGGACGTTGAGGAAGGATTTGCACCGAATTTGAATTTACCCAATCCTCCGCCGACTGCTTTTCCCATTTCGTCCAGTATCGTTACAGGTATTAATGGCCCACCAACGGCGACTTCATCTTCCAGGACTGGTGACACAAGCCCGGAGGAGTCAAATTCGATCACTGTAGCTCAACCGCCAAGCCAGAGAAAGCCGGAGTCGATTAATAACAATAGGCGTGATGGACCTACTATCCACGTATTCCAAAAATCCGATGAAACCTTGCAAAGCAAAGAAAACATTCCAATTCATATATCTCCTTTAAAGAGGAAAGCCGATCTATCAGATGCGCTGCCAAAAATCAAAGACTCCCCTGTTCAACAGAAAGGAGACGGACGCTCTACCTCATTGGAAAAAGAACGGCAAACAAAGGCACGAAATTCAAACTATCAAGAAGCCATCTACAGAAGCGCTCCGCCAACCAAATCTTCTAAATGTCAAAGCCACGTTCCTGGTAGCGAGCAAGTTGCGCATCAACCTCGTACCCCTAGAAAGGCCCAGGTATCAAATACTCTTGTATCTACGATAGAGACTGTGCAAGCCAATGGTAGAGGCCAGCTTGAAAATCATACACGTGTGCAAATCGAAATCTTGGATTCCGATGACGAAGACATCATTGACATTCCTCAACAACCGCAACAGCCAGAGCTATTGGCAGCTGCAACAAAACGTACACAGAAGAATATGGCTAATGATCCGGCATCCACTGTTGGAACAGACGGTGCCAGAGTGGTGGACCAAACAGTGGTGGACCACACGGTGCTGGTGGCCACGCAGGCGATAGCAGAGGAGCGCAAGAAGGACAAGGTCCATGTCTTTGACTCAGAGGCCTTTGATGCAATGATATATCGCCAGTCTACGCTCCGTCCGCCGCCAGGGGTTGCGTCACAGGCTCCAGCCCGACCGAAAACGCCACTTAAAAAGCCTTCTATTGAGTATCAGAGGCAGTATTTATCAATTAATCCCGCAATTCATTTGCCAATTAAGCGATCTGACAACTGGCACACGAAAAAGGCACTAGAGATTCAAGCCCGCGGAAGACGCAAGGCGTGGTTTGGAAAAGTCATTGAAAGGCAACGGTGGCTACGAGCAAAAGAAAAAGCGGAGGAAGACGAGCGAAATGCAGCCAAAGAGTCAAATCAAATGGCTCTGCGCATAGACCCGCAGCCCTGGTCGTACAATCGAGTTATCGATTTTGGAGATGTTCCTCACGAGGAACTACCAGAAGATGTTCTACAGAACCCCGCGTGGGCTAAGGCATGTGCCTGGCACCGAGAGAATCATGCAAAGAGGATTTTTCGAGAACACGCTGCCAAGAATGCAAATCGGGCAGCATGGGATCAAGCTGAACGTGTCATGAAGGATGCCAAACTAGCATCACAAAAGAGCCGCGGACCTTGACATCAACGGGACTTGATTCACTACAAGTCCTAGCGTTTGGCGCATTCTCCCCTGATTCTTCGTCTTGAAAAAATCAGCTCTAGTGATGTGCTTTACTACAAGGTCTTATATAAGAGGAAGCATTTGCAGTTATAAAATCTATGTACAATGGAGTTATGGAGGCATAAGACTATAATTGGCGCATATGGAGAAGGTTGTTTTCCTCTTTCTATTATTCTCTTTATTCATAGAAGTAGATGGCCTTGTGGCCAGGGAGCGTGACATTGTTTTGTCAGATATTCGATTCAATGGTTAATATTTCTGAGCAACAAGCTCTGCGAGCGCGATATATAAAAAGCTATTCTGTCATCAAAAGCGCTGAATCAATTACATGTTGATTGCTAAGCTCAAGATCTAATTCATTACAACTCCATATCTCACAAGTCCCAACACCGCACCAAGAAGTATCGCAAGAGGCGCTGAGAGAGCAAAGTATCTGCCCCCAACATATGCCGACGCTGCGACAACCACCCACCATGGATCATCACCCAGGCTTTTCCCGGACTGGAAGCCCTCGTCTACATACCCAACTTGCCATATTCGGTACACGGCTGTGTAAATGAAGCCAACTGCGCCTGCGTTGATTCCTCTGGACCCAGATTTCACCCATGGTTTGCTTCTCAAGACTTTCCAAACGCCCATGGTGCCATGAACCAAGATCATCCCTGGCAGGAAGATGCCTAAAAACGCAATGATTGCTCCAACAATAGCGGGTTGCCCATTGTTAATGGCGGCGAGGGCTCCTAGGAATACGGCAAAGTTGAAATTCGGCCCTGGAAACGCTTGGATAATGGCGAGCCCGATGAGAAAGTCGCGCGGGCTGACCCATCCTTCAGCCACGACATATTCCCGCAGCAGGGGAATCACCACCGGACCGCCGCCAAAAATGACGGTTCCGGCGAGACAGAGATTGGCAAAGAGTTTGTACAGCATGGGAGGGCTGTGCAAGACTCCGCGGAGCACCATTATCACTGTGAAGGCGAGAAGGAAAGTTGCAATGACAGCGGCTCCAGCTTTCCATGAGAAGTTTAGTCGATACTCTTGTGGTATGGTGCGCGGCTCAAGGTTAGTGATGTCGTGTTCCTCGGGTGTTGTGATGGAGTTACTGGAGCCTCTCCGGCCATCCCTTTCGACTGCATCATTTTCCACTCCCGTTGGTGATGGGCCCGGGTGTGTGAGTTTACCTTTGATAAATCGGCCGAGACGATGAAGCCAACGGAAGTCATATACAACAGCAGCGAATCCGGCAGCAAATATGAGGGCTGGAAAGTACCAAAGCGCATTATACAGCAATCCGGCAGAAGCAGCAAGGAAGACAATGATCCTAGTCAGTCTGTCTGTAATTGCCTTGTTCGACAGCTCAACCGCAGCCAAAGCGATAATCCCGACAGTCGCGGCATTCAGCCCAGAGAGTAGGGCGTAAACTGCGCGAGGCAGCGCATCATCTATGTTGGAGACACCAACGGAGAGGCCAAACATGCCCAACGCCCCGGGCAAACTACACAATAGAAGTTACTACTACTCAACCACTTCTCGCCAATTCGGAGAATCTAGACTTTTCTTTACCTCCAAAGCAAGAATGCGAGCAGGGCTCCGAATACCCCGCTGTGAATCAAATTGATGCAGTAAACCATCTTTGTGCTTCCTGGGCCTGATAGAGCTTGCGAGACGCTGAACAGCTCCTGGTACTATGAAGGTGAAGCTATTAGTCTGCTGAATTGAGCGGGAATTGTCTCCAGTGGCGCGCATACCAGTTGCTCGTCGATCCAGTTAAGCTTCAGCACAAACTTATCATGCAGCTGTATTCAACGTCAGACTACAATTGAGCAATATCGTGGCTTTGATGCGTACAATCTTGAAATGGACTGGCGGTCCCCCAAAGGCAGTCATGCCGAGATGCCAGTTGTTTGAGACAACAGGCCATGCTTGAATGAGGGTCTTTTTGACCTTGCTTTCCCAATAACTAATAGACAACATTTTTGCCAGGATAGCATTCAGTGTCTATGTCTCACTTGCGAATTAAATATCCAGAGTGGAAATTGTGAGTAGGAACGGTTTGCGGAACGTCGCTCGATGTTCCGAGTCATCGGGCTGGGTTATAGCATGACTGTAAGAATTCTGGCCATGATTGCGTTAGCGGTTACGCCATACGCTATGCCTCTAGCGTCATTTAGAATTGCAAGATTAGTATGCCAAGGAATGATTCTTAGTAACCTATTAGCTATAGTAAGACGGTAGAGCATTTCCGCTTATTCTAACTAAAATTGGCAAAACTACTTGGCGTAGCTCAACCTGAGTCACACTTGTAATCTTGGCGAATTATCATATTGCAACTGTCCTCGGGGAAGATATTGTATTTTACAGCCGAATGGATTTAATTACATGGTTACAGAGTCGGTGATAGTACCAGCGCTTTACTAACCTAGTAATACATAAGATTTCACTTTGAACTTAAAGCTAGCAATTACTTTACAGTTGCGCAAGATACAGCCTTTTGTTTCAAGCAGTATTGTAAAACAAGCCATCTCGGAAATAAATGGTTCATTTACTTCAAATTGTTATTGATCTATAGCCCTATTATGAAATGTAACGCAAATAATTCTTACCTTACTAAGGCAATATTGGCCCAGCAATATTAGCATGCCTACAACTATAAAGCCTTTAATTATTAATTCCCAAAGACTTTGTAAAAGTTTCTGCTTCTTAGAAGCCTTTTTAGACTTGAAAATGGTTAGGGTTATAAGCAGCTTCTAAACTACAGATATTGGTCTAGTTATACTATTAGCCTGTTTGTATATTATACTTTTATTTTAGCTGTAAAATATAGATATCCCAGACGGTATATTTTTTACATAATTACTGTCGCAACTTGTGTATTTAGGGGCGCTGGGAGGCTAAGAACAGTGTGCTTTTGTAATTCTACAATAAAAAAAAGGTTAACTGTAAAATGCAAATATATTACTTTGAGGATTCTCGCCATTTAAGCTCAAAAGCTTAGTCGCTATATAGCGTTGGTGTTACAAGACAGCTGCTTTATGTAACTACATTTCAATGAAATTATTTTACTTATGCAAGAAATCAACTTGGCTCTGTGCCCTATGTATACTGCTTTATACAAAACAAACAGCAAAACATCTACCTGTTTTTCATCCTCATAACATACTACTTTACCCGCTCCCAGTAACTAAACCCTAACCCTGCATCAACATTTATACGCCCTTGGACAGCAAGTTCAGCGCACTGCCAGCCAAGATGAATCCCGCCTGGTCCTTGCTAACAGCATGCTTCGTCGGGATCAAAAATTCCTCGCCACTGGCCTTCTTGACCTTGAGCTGAACATCTCCCTTGCCCTTATTGCGGAGCATCTCGTACAGTCCCACAGTGCTAACCTCGTCACCAGCTCCAATCTTGTCGTAATCAGCCTCGTTCTCAAACGTCAGCGGCACAACGCCCTGCTTCTTCAGGTTCGTCTCGTGGATGCGTGCAAAAGACTTTGTCAGGACGACTCTCGCGCCGAGGTATCTAGGCTGCAGAGCGGCGTGCTCACGAGCCGATCCCTCGCCGTAGTTGTGCTCTGCGACGACGAGCCACTCCTGGTTGCGCTCCCTCCACAGCTGGCCGAGCTCGGGGATGGTGTGCTTGGAGCCGTCGAGATCGTAGGCGGCGTTGACCTCGCCCGTCTCGGCGTTGGTGGCGGTGTTGAGGGTGTTTGTGCTGATGTTGGGGAGGTGGCCCTTGTACTTGAGCCAGGGGCCGGCGGCGGAGATTGTGTCGGTGGTACACTTGCCGGTGACCTTGACGAGGACGCGGAGGCCGGAGAGGTCGGACTCGGGGAAAGGGGCAAAGGGCTCGAGGAAGGCGAGACGATCGGAAGATGGGGAGACGGCGACTTGAATGCTGGGGTCGGGCTGCTGGGAGAGGACACCGAGTGAGGGGACGCCGGCTTCAAAGGGAGTCTGGGGGCCTTCAAGACCGTGAGGGGGAGAGAACTTGAAGTCCTTGCCAGAGGGGGTCTTGATAGTGTCGGTCATGGGGTTGAATGTGGTTGAACCAGCAAAGGCCATGGCGGTGACAATCTCGGGGGAGGCAAGGAAGTTCATAGTTTCGGGGTTGCCATCGTTTCGACCACGGAAGTTGCGGTTGTATGAGGTGAGAATAGCATTAGAGGTTCCCTTGGTAACACCATCCTGTCGTTGCCATTGGCCGATACAAGGACCACAAGCGTTAGATAGCAACACGCCGCCGGCAGCCTCAAAAGTCTTAAGAGTGCCGTCACGTTCCAGAGTGGCGCGAATCTGCTCACTACCAGGGGTGATGTAGAAATCAGCAGCAGGCTTAAGACCAGCGTCGGCCGCCTCCTTGAGGAGACTCTCCACACGGGTCATGTCCTCGTAGGAGCTGTTGGTGCAGCTGCCGATAAGACCGGCAGATAGCTTCTCAGGCCACTGCTGCTCCTTGACGACATTCTTGAACTTGGACAGGGGGGTAGCCAGGTCGGGAGTGAAGGGGCCGTTGACATGGGGCTCCAGCTCAGAGAGGTTGATGGTGATGAGCTGGTCATACTCGGCACCTTCATCGGCCTTGAACTGGAAGCGGGAATCCTCAGAGGCGCTGTTTCCGGGGAAGCTCTGCAGGGCCTTGATGTTCTCAACAGCCTGGCCTCTGCGGGTAGACTCGAGGTAACGAGCAGAAGCTTCAGTGTAAGGGAAGAGGGATGTTGTTGCGCCAACCTCGGCGCCCATGTTGCAAATAGTAGCCATACCAGTAGCGCTCAGAGTGTCAACACCAGGGCCAAAGTACTCGATGATGGAGCCAGTGCCGCCACGAACCGTCAGCTCGCCAGCCAGCTTCAGGATGACATCCTTAGGAGCAACCCAGTTGTTCAGGCTACCAGTGAGCTTGACACCAAGAACCTTGGGGGCCTTGAGCTCCCACGGGGCGCCAACCAGCGCCTCAACGGCATCGGCACCTCCAACACCAATCGTGACAGTGCAGAGACCGCCAGCATTGGGGCTGTGGCTGTCAGTGCCCAGCATCATCAGACCCGGCAGAGCATAGTTCTCCAGCACGGTCTGGTGAATGATACCCGCGCCAGGCGGCCAAAAGTCCATGCCGTACTTGCGCGCCGCAGACTCCAAGAAGTCGAAAATCTCCTTGTTCGCCTGGATGCCCGTCGACAAATCGTCCTCTGCGCCCTTTGCGCCCACGATCAGGTGGTCGCAGTGGATGCTCGCAGGGATGGCCGGCCTCTCCAGATTGCACGACATGAATTGTAGCAGCGCCATCTGCGCAGACGCATCCTGCATGTTGACCCGGTCGGGCTTCAGCAGCAGGTTGGCCTTGCCGCGGATGCTGGATCCATTGTCCGTGTTGGTCAGAAGTGACTCTTCGACATTGTCCAGGTGGCTGTAGAGAATCTTCTCAGCGAGCGTCAGGCGCTGCTTGCCCAGGACTCGGCGCACTTCGGTGTATCTGTTGAAGAGCTTCTCGTACGTCGGCGGCAGGGACTTGACGCTCGAGAATCGCCTGGTCGAAGAAGTGCATAGAGTGCGGTTCAGAGCTCCGGCCGCGGAGCCGGATCCCGCTCGTCGCAAAAGGCTCTACCAATTGCCAATTCAAAGTCAGTTCATCTTGTGTTATAATTCCAGTTTATTACTTGTTTGAATGCCAGAAACTCACAGTCATGGCGCCTCCAGAACGACCTGCCAGTTCAATTGGTGCCATCTTCTGCGCTCGTGATTCATTCCCACGAACAAACTTTTTGGTGGGGTGAAAGTTTTGAGATTGGCAATGCGCGGTATCGGATTGGAGACCGGCGGCGGGAGAGAATCGGGGCAAAGTGGCGCACGTCATTGCACCAAAGAGCTGGCGCTGGCGCTACTATTGACATTGATCCATCACACTATAAGTTAGTAGGGCAACCATATAGGAGGAAATCATTTGATGATATCCTCAATAACAAAGTATGCTGAAGCTAAAGTTCTGGATCGACCGCCATGTCTCAATACATCTTTCCCATTTCGAGTATTATATGAATGGGTATCTCAACCCTGCTAAACATCATGTATCATCGCCTCAATCCCAGTTCCATCATGCAGTACCTAGTATATCCATTTGATCCATCCGGTCTATCGACCCCTTGTTTTCTGTTTCTCTTCTTCTAGTAAATTGCAACCCCATCGGCATCATCCAGCCATAGTGAAGCCAGATCTTTGGCCAGTCCTAATCTCAGCTTGCGAATCACGTCTTCTCCCTTGGTATTAGCAAGCCAGCCCTTCCGCCAGTCCCAGCCCCTGTTCACTTTGCCTCCTCCTCCCATGATAGACTTTTGCATGTGACTAGCAAGAAGTGAACTGCCACTCATCATATATGTACTACCACTCAGCGAACTTGTCGACTTCATCAGATCTGAGGGCGTAGATCCCTTCAAGCCGTGTCCTGACGCGAGCACCAGGTTGAAAAACTCTTCGCACGTCGAGTACACTCTGGTGCCCACCGCTTGAATATCCTCAATCGCCTTGAGCAGAATGTCGAGTTGCTCGAGAGAGATGATAGAGGGCGACTGGTTGATGAAGACTGTTGTTTCGCCAAGCAGAGCCAGCAAAAAGTCTTCGCTGACCACAGCATCTCTTGTCTCGTCGTAGAGCCCGCCGCGGATGTTGTCGCCTGAGCTAGAGACGACAGCCACCAACGCGAACGCAGCTTGCTTCTTCATGGCAAGAGCCCTAGAAGGTGAAGTTTCTTCGATATTTCCAATCTCATCTCTGATCTCGTAGAATTTGCGCAACGTAGCGTAGCCGCTGAGCATGCGGCCTAGCACCTGGGCGGCTTCCAGATCAACCTTTGCCTTGTCTTCCAAGGTTTCTGATCTGTTTCGAAGCAAGCCCTTGAGATCTTCGTCAAGATCCTCTTCGGCAGGATATACCGTCGACTGTACCAGCGAATAGGACATGAGAAGGTTCAGCACTTCACGAACTCGGTCCGTGCGGTGAGATAGTGCAAAATACCAAAGAGCTTCGCCGTATCGGTGAGATTCTTTTGACAAAATCTCGGCAAATGTCTACCAAACAGTTAGCATCACGTTGCTCATCAAAGATACCAAGTCACATGAGTTAAACACGCTGCTTACCTCTGCAGTCTCCTCAGCATAATTCATCATGCCCAGGTCGCTCAACAGCCTCCACATCTTATCAACCGTTGTGCTAGAGTTCTCATCCAATGTTGCCAAAAGGTCTCTCAGTAGTTCACCAACTATTTCCTCTGACTTTTCTGGAACGTCCATCCGCCCAAGCACCTGAATGGCCATCTCCCAGCCGTCTCGCTGTGGTGAGAGGTGCTCAATTCCTGCCAGCTCTCTCGCATAAATAACAAGAGTTGTGTCTTTGATGCCCTCGACATCATCCGTGGTAGGCTGGCCGACTCCAAGAAGCATTAGATCGTCGATATCCAGACTGTCAGCCGGTAGCGGCTTCGCAGATTCTTGGGGCGGAAGCCATTTGCCCAAAGAAGCGATTTCGGCTACTGAGCAAGCAACTGGTAGTGACCACGTTCTCAGGCATCCAACCACAGCGTGAACGTTGCCTTCAAAGGCAGATGCAAGGGCAACCTCTACGGGATTCATTGTGTTAGGGGTCAGGCCAGATTGGATAACAACATTGAACACCGTCACAAGTCGATCAAAGTAGTCCTCAGAGTCTGTAAAGCTACCGGGCGATACACCAAACTGAGACTGCATCAGGCTCTTGGGGCGCTGGACTCCCTCATCCCACCAGCCAAACAGTGCAACTGTTGCTTCGCACCAATCTTGCGCCGTCTCCAAGATAGCCTCAGTCTGTCCCAGGACAATGTCATATACAGTCTGTAAATTTTCGTAAATATCCCACGGAATTTGGCTCGACGCCTTCTTGGCCATTGCTGACATGGACGAGTCGACTCCGTCGTTCAGAGAGTCCAGTAGGCTAGTGTCTTTGCCTTCAGCAAACAGGGTGAGTCTATCCAGAGAGCCTCGAGCTTGGACTCGGAATAGAGTCCAGCTGCTATCCAGAATCTCCCAGTCGTTCCGTGCTGCGGGGCATTGGTCAAGCATCTCACACGTAGCCTCTGCAAACCTTCGTACGTTTTCGAGGGCCTTGCCAGTGTACGTTGGGCCGCCCAGAGGTCCTCGGCGAACATGCTCCCAGCCAGCATTTCTCAAAAGCTGCTGTGCTCCGGTTACGTCACCCCGTAGCAGTGCATTTCTCAGAGTCTGCCAGTACAGGCTGTGGCATGCAGGGCTGGGCTTATATCTGGAAATCTCTCGAACTTGGTTGGGAAATAAGTTGTGGCTGCTTTGTAACCAGTCAAAGAGAATTTCTGGCAATGGTGGCACCTTATCGTCCTCGGTTTTTGTGTCGAAGCGAGCATGGTGCATACGGAGAATCAGATGGGCAACATAGGCAGCTTTTTCAAACGGGTCTGCGCCTTCTGGTGGTCCAATGGTGGCCAGATCTTCGCCTTCTGGCGGAGGAAGCTCCTCGGTGTACTCTGTCCACAGTTGAATGAGTCGGTAGGTTATATTAGCAAGTGAGTTTTCCAGTCTTTCCGTGTCCTCGTGCGCGCCAACCCCATCGTTGTATAGCTGGCAAACCAGGTTTTCGGTCTTTAGGATCAAGTCCGGGCTCTCTGTGATTCGGGCAGGCTCTTGATACGTATAGATATCTTTGGCAATGGTGGCGAATTGAAGCTCGTGGTTTCTCGTAGGCCTAAAGCGAGTCGACTGGCTATATATGCTCTCAGCTTCCTTGCGCACTCTGGCCGTTGCCGCAGGTGTTTGTAGCATCATTAGATCTGAATCGTCGCCAATAACTGGCTGACCATATGCACGGTCATCATGTCGCATGTTTAGGAAAATATCACCCGTTTCAGAGGCATCCGCGCTCAGTTCTTCCTCCATTTCCTCGTCGATGTATCGCTCCACCTCGGCTTCCATATCATCGTTTCTTTGTGATGCCCGAGTTGTCTGGGGTGTGCTTCGAAACAAACTTCCTCTCTGGGGGGGAAGTTCGTCGTCGTCGTCGAAACCGTCGCCAAAATCGTCCTCCTTGTCGTTACCGTTGGCACGAAGCTGTCGGCTTAGCCCAGATGGCCTCCCTCCGAAGTTTCGGCCCAGAGGAGCATTTTGGCCGCGTGGTTGGCCAAACAGTCCTCCCCCAGTGCTTGAAGTCGTGCTCGTCGGTCCGTCGCCGAATTGCGAAAAGTTATTAGCTTGTCGCCTATCTGGTGTTAACGGCGAACCCTTGGCCATGGGGCTGGAATCAATGATGAACCTATGGGCCATGGTGACGAGCGATGCTGCCCTGTCGGCTGGTCCAACAGAATGCTCGTATCAATGGCAATGGAGTATCAATTATTCATAAACGCGGATGGATTTTCGTAAAGGACGGGACGTGTCTTTCGTATTAAGCAAGATCCGCAGCAGATGCAGGCGTAGAATTGGCAACGCTTAGTTGTGAATGAAAATTGCCCTCTATTCGTTTGGCCCAGCACGCGTCTTGGATATTTTTTGGGAGCTGTTGTCGCGCCGAGATGAATGCGATCCGGAATTTAGCCGATCTCACCGAAACGCCTGGAGTCCAAGGTGGACTCGGTGTATCAATACAGCCATATCCAGCATTACACAACAACGGAGTCCAAGCGACAAGAGGAAAATTGCGTAGAAAAAAGTTCAGTTTTAATTTATATGTTAAAGAAGTAGTGGGCTCAGTTTCTACATGTTCAATCCAAAATGAAGTGCCGTACGCTGTAAGAGGTGCCTATACGTGCCTAGGCAAGAGTTTGAATGTTGGTCCAAGCTACACGATGTCTGCCCGCAATATGGCTGTTCATAGGTCTCATAAATCAAAAACGCCATCTCGGGAGATATACCAATGTTTTTCAAGTGTTTCTATTTGAATAGTCGTCCCGTTTTTTCAAAACGCCGAATAACCAAGGCAATCCATAAAGTCGGCAATAATTATAGCCGCTATAGGGACAGTATCACCGCTTCTGATTCATTGTGAGCACGGAGATGACGGAGTTACATCTGTCTCGGGCACATAACACCGGATAGGGCCCGGATCAAGTAGCAACCTTTTGAAAAATCAGGTCTCGTTCAAAGAATGCGATTCGTTGACGGGTAAATCCCAAGTATTGCCCAGGTATTGCCCTGGTATTGCGCAGCAATTCAGTTGACGCATGAGTAAGCGCATGAAATACATGTAGCTTTAAGCACCAGTTTTTTGCTTCCCCCACTTGCGCCGCAGCGGGGTAGCTATGAGAGTGTCGAGTCTTAATAGTGACGTTCGGGGGATCGGAAAGCTGTGTGTCAAGCTCAAGCAGCTTGCGCCCGTGAATAAATACATAGGAGCTCCATCTTTCACTTGAGCTTTTCTCCAACTCATCAGGAAAGCTGCATTATTCGGCCGCATTTCACCAGCCGAACTAACACAATGGCCTCGACTGTTGGAAAGGTGAGCACATCACTGAAACTACCCCTCCACAGCCTTTGCACCCCGCCATCGATTAGAAGTTATGCAGCTGACGAGAGAGGGATGCAGACCATCACCTGCAAGGCTGCCGTAGCCTGGGAGGCTGGCAAGGAGCTGAGCATCGAGGACGTCGAAGTTGCTCCTCCCAAGGCCCACGAGGTGCGCGTGCAGATTTACTACACCGGCGTCTGCCACACTGGTAAGCTGCGAGACTGATGGAGCTCTCAAGGAGTTAACAGGAAAATGCTGACCGCTATAGATGCCTACACTTTGTCCGGCAAGGACCCGGAGGGAGCTTTCCCCGTCATCCTGGGACACGAAGGAGCTGGTATCGTCGAGTCTGTCGGTGAGGGTGTCACCAACGTGAAGCCCGGTGACCACGTCATTGCTCTCTAGTATGCTCTCTTCGACCCCCAATGTCTCACAGTCTATGTCGAAGTTGGAAACTAATTAGCATGTAGCACACCCGAGTGCAAAGAGTGCAAGTTCTGCAAGTCCGGAAAGACTAACCTCTGCGGCAAGATCCGAGCTACTCAGGGCAAGGGTGTCATGCCCGATGGCACCAGCCGATTCAAGTGCAAGGGCAAGGATCTCCTCCACTTCATGGGCACCTCAACTTTCTCTCAGTACACCGTCCTCGCCGATATCTCCGTTGTAGCTGTTCAGCCCGAAGCCCCTATGGACCGAACCTGTCTCCTTGGCTGCGGCATCACCACTGGTTACGGTGCAGCCCGCGTCACCGCCAAGGTGGAGGAGGGCTCTAACGTCGCCATCTTTGGAGCTGGATGCGTTGGTCTATCAGTTGTTCAAGGAGCTGTCGTCAACAAGGCCGGCAAGATCATCGTGGTGGACGTCAACCCGTCCAAGGAGGAGTGGGCGAAGAAGTTTGGTGCTACCGACTTTGTGAACCCTAACGATTTGAAGGGGCAGACTATCGTCGAGAAGCTGGTCGAGATGACTGACGGCGGCTGCGACTACACGTTTGATTGCACTGGTAATGTCAATGTAATGCGTGCTGCTCTGGAGGCTTGCCACAAGGGTTGGGGCGAGAGTATCATTATCGGTGTCGCTGCTGCAGGACAGGAGATTGCCACTCGCCGTAAGTTGACTCTTTCTGCTCTGTTCTTGGGGTGCTGAACTCTATCATACTAACTTGAGTTCTTTCTTTAGCATTCCAACTTGTCACTGGCCGTGTCTGGAAGGGCTGCGCTTTTGGCGGCATCAAGGGCCGCACGCAGCTGCCTGGACTTGTCGGCGACTATCTGTCTGGAGCTCTCAAGGTTGACGAGTTTATTACGCACCGCAAAACGCTTGGGGAGATTAACAGTGCGTTTGAAACGATGAAGCAGGGAGACTGCATCCGAGCTGTTGTTGATGCGCGGACCTTGTGAAAAGATGCGCGGACCTTGTGAAAAGATGCGCTGAGGGGAAGGCCAGGACCAATCGCCAGGCTTGGTGTCAAATTGTAAAATAAAAGACTATACTTTCATAATAAAAGCAGAAGATGCAGCGAAGAGAGAGAACTAGGGTAGTCAGGTCAGGAGTCAGATTGTACCTTGATGGTTACCTCGGTGGAGAAAGGCATGCATAGGGTAGTAGTAGTATACATACGTGTATGAGGTACTACAAGTTATGCAAACCACGATGTTGAAAATTGAATAGCCTGTCTCAAATCCCTGTATATTGAGACTTGTATCGACCCGAACAACTGACAGGCAAAGAGAGCAGAGCATGGCTAGTTTGGTACGCAACAGGCAGTAGCAATATAAATTGAATGGGGATAGGAGTTGGAGTCAAAGGGTATAGAGTTACGAAAAAGAATATCATTGAGCAGAATTATAGCACAGATAAAGTATAGGAGGTTGAAGAGACAGAAGAGATTGAAGAGACAGAAGAGACAGAAGAGATTGAAGAGATTGAAGAGATTGAAGAGATTGAAGAGATTGAAGAGATTGAAGAGATTGAAGAGATTGAAGAGATTGAGATAATTCAGCTAGTATAAGCAGTAGATGTAATATGCATTCAGTTCAGTATATACAACTAGCACAGCTATGGATCTATATTAGTGTATGATAAGATAGTTATGTGCTATTGCTAACTGTAACATTTTCTGTTATATTGCTTCCTACTTGGTAGTGAAAAATCTTCACTTACACAAGAAGCGTTTACAGAGTCATCTCTGAGTGCCTCTACCTAATATGTACAATTACCATATATCATTAATATCATTTTGATGTTGAATATGCATCTACCTTCCTTGCCGCTCCTGCTCATAGGTGCTTCGGCAAATTTGTTTTGGTAGCCTCTTGGCAAATAGGAAGCAAGCCAGTAAGGCGGTTGATCAACACCAGCCTCTACGTATATCAATCAATTGGCAACCAATCAAGATATATTACAGTCTACCTAGTATAGTGGTCAGTACAGCAGTTTGTGGATCATTTGAATCACTGCAAACCCAGGTTCGATTCCTGGGGTGGACAATTCATATCTTTTTGGTGTTGTGATGGTGGAGCCGAGGGCTGAGACTATGGAGACACGATCCGCTCTGGTAACCAGCGGTATGCTTAGTAAGAAATCAAGAATGAGCACAGATTGAGTAAACATCTGACGACAGTAAAAGTCATTCTTACAGAACTCCAAAAATTTTCTGTAGCTTGTCTTGCTTTCGCTCATCCCGAACGGCGTGAGCGCCGGTCGACTGAGATGAACGAGAGCGGATCTCGGGATGACGACATGACTGTCACTGCCACCATGCTCAATGGCCTCACCTAGACAGCACAGTAATTTGTCCGGCATTTCGTACGAAACTCGGCAGTTCCCATTGGGGCAGACACACACTCGAGCGACAAGCTCGGAATGCTGAGCGGTGCTGATTTCGGAGGCTACGCCGGAGGCGGATCCGGCCGGCAGCGGGAAAGAAAAAGAGGCAAGAGATAATTCCGGGAAGCGCAAAGGGCAATATTGCCAAAAGCGGCGATTTACATGGTGAGAAAGACGGAAACGGATCGTATCGTGTGCAGCAATGTATGGGAGTTTATAGCACGTGTGGCTTTCCGTATAAGTGCCTACAGCAAATATTGAACTACAAAGGAACATCGGCGACGGTAAATTACTCCGTGTTATGTTAGCTGTATAATTAACCCATAGATTATTTCCTGCGGTACGGAATTGGCTGCTTAACAATCATGCTCACAGAAAGGATGCGTTGGTCGTAAGGTGTGTTTGATTGTCCAGGATTCCATGCGCTCCCTGCAGTGAAGCGCGCTCCAGCCAGCAAAAAGCAATCGTTTGATCCCAGCGCTCATCGACTCTTTTTGCTTTTGATCGCTGGCTTGATGCTAAGCATGCAAATCAAGTTTTGAAGGTCCCTTCATATCATTCCATGAGACAGCTATCAAGAGGTATCTTGCAGTACTATTTTGTACCCAACAATACCTACCTAGTACTTGTGACCTGTCTGATTGCTGCTCGAGGTACGGAGTACAAAGTACAGGGGATCAGACACAGCTCACTTCATTTTAGTACTACTTGAGAGTCGTCAGCGCTGTCAGCCTGGAAAGCGGTCGGGGGAACCTGGTTCAGGGACTTTGCAAGCGACTACGTCACAGCCAGTAAAACTCCACCAGCGAGCGAACCCAGTACATTCTGGCCTACTGGAATTGCACGAATCCATCTGATGCTACCTACCGTTGGGGGCATCTTTTCTTTAATGAGAGAGTATGAGAGCGTATCGTCTAGCAACCACGTAAAAGTAGCAGTACCAAAGGCGGGACAGGATTTGCCAGGAATAACTCCCTAAGGTATGTACTTTGTAGATACTGTATGTACGTGCCATCTTGTTAGCCAGAGCCATACTAGCGAGAAAGCAGCAGGCTGACAGAACTGACTGATCTTTTGCGCGCGCGACTTTTCAGCCGCCGACCGCATGACGGTCTGGCAAGTCATGGATGTCTTACGTCTCGCCATCTGAAGGGGGAAGTTTCCGGCTTTGGGGCGTTCCGGGGCCTGAGGTGAAACGGGCTGGACAAGAGTCGATCTCGAGCCCAGCCCGTGTTTTGAAAAAATACAGATGGCACCTATTTGATTCGATGCTGCTTTTTAAGAACTTTTTTCCCTTGGAGCCTCTCCATGTAACGACGGCGCGCAGAAAGCGCTAAAGGTGGAAGAACATGACTGATCCATGTAATTATACTGTATGGATCGCTTTACTGCGGGCAACTTACACTCGCACGCGACCGTCGTAGCTTCAGTGCTTTGGTGTAACTCAACTCAACCCCCAGCGCTTCGTTAACGTGGAGCCCTTTTTGATGCGCATGCAGGGAAAGGAGAAAAACTGACTAGCAGGAGCCAATTGGCTGCAGTCCATTATTCTCCGGCCGGCTTTGTGTTTATCGTGTCTGTACGAGCATGTCGCCGGTCTGATTCCCCGTAACACCGCTTGCTCCTCATGGCGTGTGTGATATGGCCTCTAATATCCACGGCTTGCGATGCGATGCGATGCTGCGCTGTTCCCGTGCTAGCCATGCACGCATCGGCTGCTGCATCGCAGGAGTCAGGCTTCCCGCCGCCGCGATAGGAAGAACGGACCCCCGTCGCTGCTGGGCTGGGGGTCCAGCAAGCGGCCTTGCATCTGCGGCGGCGCATGATTCCCCACGATGTATCGATACGGCTCCATGCATTGGGTCGCGCCGCCGAAGGGGTTGCTTCGCACATACATGTACATACAGCGACACATGCGCATGTGTACATGGCATGGCCTGGCCTGGGGGAATATCCACCGCCTACATACGTGTTCGCTGCTCTGGCTGGACTTACATGGACGCTAGCAGCTCGTGGTACTTGGAGTAGCGTTATTCGCTGTGGCTCCTACGACTGCTGGCGCTTAGCATTGGATGGGATTTAGGAATCTAGAGGGGATTAAGCGATGGCTGAGAGAATAAGGTGTGATCACGTTGTTGGCGAGATGGCGACCCAAAGACAACGGTGAGTGGTGCCCAACGGGTGCAAATGTCGGGAATGTGAGCGACGAGAGCGGTGCAGGACCTAAGGCAGAGATAAGGCAGTGAGTGGTCAGTCACGATGGTGTTGTTGATGCTCCCGGCAGTACTAGCAGCAAAACGGCTCTTGGCAATCAAGCCATCGTCTATCGTGGATACCACGTTTTACTGATTCTAGGGAGGGCATTTCGTGCATCATGCTGTGGTGCAAGGCAGACTTCTTTCAGTGACTGCAGCTCTTGACCTCGAGTCCCATTGCCAATACTACCTCTACTTCACGTGTCCCCTTCCTCTTCATCTCTGCTCTCGTCCACTTCAAATCCCATCTGGTCTCCCAGGTAAAATGATTGCTCTCTTCAGTCAGCATTGAATCCCTAGACTAGCACCGACATCACGTCACGCCCGCTACCCAAGGCCGACACCGCTTTCGGAGAAAGCTCAATAGTGCAACACTTACAAGCACAGTCACTCTGGCTGCAGTACTAGGCCCCAGCCCCCCGGGAAGGGAAAATCAGACCAAAAAAGGCCAGACCAAGCAATAAAGGGTCACAGGCCAACGGGTTGTACTGCGACTTATCGTATCCGTACCCAGTTCCCCTCAGGTTAGTACATACCGGCCGACTGATTCGCTGTCAAGGGCCGCTCTGGCATCTTGCGGGCTTTGATTGGAAATCGGAAATGATGGGACAATGCGTCTCGCCTTCGTATCTCTTGTCTGGCTGGCTGCCCAGTGACTACACCTAGTACATAGTTGGGGGGCACAGATAAAGAGGCCCAAACAGCCGCAACTCTTCAAAATCCCTTCTTTTTTTCTCCTTCTCTTTCAGCGTCCGTCAGTCACCGCAACTCGCACACGCACACGTACGTCTAGGGCGTCTTGCTTCACAAAACAACCTACTCAGCTACTGGCTTCGCCTTCGGCTCAGCTGCTCCCTCCAGTCCCGGCCGCAATTCCAGACGGGCCCCGCCACCAGAAACAGAGAGACCCTTGCCTGGCTTGTACTTACACCCCGGTGCGGCTGTTTCTCTCTGCTATTGTCTAGGCACGGCCGTATAGACTGATCACGCAGACTGGTGATATAGCCGAGGTGACCGTTGCTTCATTCTGATCATCCAAGTGGGAATCAATTCATTTCCGCTTTCTTCCACCTGCACCCAATTTCCAAAAAGAGACTTCAGATCAAGGTACGTTTCAAAAGCAGACAAAGCACAAAAAGACAAAAGAAGAGCCGGAAAATGTCAAAGCCTCAGATTGAAAAGAGCCCCGGATCAGGCAATGGTGCCCCCATTCCCTCCCCCGTTGCAACTTACTATGCCCGCCCCCCCTTTGGGAGCAAAAGCTGAGAGAGACAGCTGGGAGAGATTCCACCCGAGTCTCGCTCGTCCTTCTTTTCTCTTCTAAAGCTACTACTGAGAGGGGCGATCCGTCCGGGAGGCAAATTCACACACCCCCGGGGCTGGGCTGGGACTTGGAGAGCGGCGGCGTAGACTCCACCGGACCACCGGGTGTGAGTGGCGCCTCGCTCGCTGAATGACTTGGGGATCTCTTGTCGGCTTCCCCCTTGCTGGGCCTGACGCTTGGGTCGTCACTCCATTGCATTGCGCATATAAAGCCTCGCGCCATTCCGCTGTTCGCAACGTCGCTGACTCAAAGTTCAGGATTTCCTTTTTCATTCTCATTTCAAGTCTACCGGCGTCAATCTTCCGTCACTCGCTGTCGGCTCCTCTCCCTTGTGTCTTGCTATTATTAAGAGAAGGCGTTCTTCTCGGCCACTACTTCAACACTCCGTTCTCGCCAGAACACTCGTTGGGTTGCATCACACGACACGAATCCGGCCTCGGCTACATTTTCACTGCCCTCAGAGATCTTCTCATCTTCAACTCGCCCAGCATGCCTGCCAAGAAGCTCCGTTGCAACGCCAAGGAGTGCCGCGAGGCTGCCCAGCGCATCGTTGGAGACTGCACATTCTGCAATGGCCACTTCTGCGGCAAGCACCGTCTGTTAGAAGACCACAAGTGCAGCGGCCTGGAAGACGTAAGTTGGCTCTTTTTGAATTTCCTTTCAAGAGTATTATCAAAATCTAACACATGGATTAGTGCAAGAAGCAGTCCCATGCGCGCAATGCTGCCCAGCTGGAAGCCGAGAGGACACAGGTCATCCGAGGCGTCTAAACCACACCCTTGCCAACCTCCCAACAGCGATCATCCAACAAACCACCTGACCTCTAATTACCGCACATCCTATGGTTTCTCATACACTTCGATTTCACCTACCATTCTCATTCACAGACCATGATTTGGCGCTTTCGTCGGCCCAATTCAGTCTCCCGGACCACGATTACATGAATATTCATTTTCACATTTCTTTGGAGCGATACGGAGTTAACTCGGCGAGAGGAAGCCGTTTGTTCTCCCTGGAGAGAGAGAGAGAGAGAGAGAGAGAGAGCGAGTGAAGCAAGACGAGACGGTGCTATCAGTGCCCTCCGTACCTTTTTGTATATTTCTACCATCTATTTCACTGGTGTACTGTTTCGGTCGGAACAGCTACGGCTTTTGGATCGCACGGAGTATTAGGCATGTTTCATCATCTATTCGGCATTTTATCTAGGGGGATATTAGGAGCCTTTTTTCCGCATTTGATTGCTGTTTGATCTTTATTAGTTCATTTGGAATATGATGAAACCCAAATTCGTTAAACAAAACAACTGAACAAATCGTGACACTATTTCTAAATCAAGACGACCTCGAGAAAATGCCGTTCCATTGCGTGATCAGCAGCAAATAAGCGGACAAGTCTTGCGAGATTCCCCCGTGCAGGGGACGTTTAGTACATCTAAACGATTGACGCTTTTTTTCCCCTCTTGTCACATTTGCCGGTTCTCGGCATTGACACTTTTGACAGGATCATGCAGAAGACAGACAAGTCAGTTTGAATTCCAATCCTCCCAGCTTTTGACTCAATATAGCCGGCGGGGCTTATTGCTATTTCGGCTGATGGGGGGGGACAGGCCCAATACCGACCTGCCTCCGAAGCGCGGCCTAATCAGCTTGGGGTGAATGCAACGACACGACAGCGAGTAATTAAAGACGGAGAGAGAGAAAAAATAAACCGAAATACGCGGACAAGGGAATTGCCTAGTATGGAGTATGGTATTAATTATGGTTCTGACGACTGCTACCTGGCCATTCACATGACGGATGTTACGAAAACAGCTCATCAAATGTATAACACGTATGTTAAAAAGCAAATATGCCCAACTACTATACAAAATAATATGTATGAAGGATCACTTATCAAGGACGCAAGAAGAGGGTGAGAATGGTAAAATTCGAATACAATGGCTGCACAAACGCACGCTGTAAGACAAATCACAAAGCTGCGTGTCTAGCTTCTGTTACTCGGCTCTATATAGCTCTATCTACAGTGTGATGAGAGTGAGAAAGAAAGAAAGAAAAAAAAAAGAGGCCAGTAATATGCTTACATGTGGTATCATGCTACGTGGCGAGCTGCAAAACTCCACGCCTAAAGGTGATTCATCAACGGGCGAAGTCGGGCCTCCTTCCTCAGAGAACACATGTCTATCTCCAATACGACCGTACGCGACTCCTTATCAGTCTTCTTCCTCTTTCTTAACCTTAACCTCAAATTCAACCTCCTCTTTGATTGAGGCCTCGACTTTGACAACCGCGCCGACACTCTCCCTCTTCACTCCTTCCTCTCCTTCCTCTTCCTTCTTCTCAATCTTAATCAGCGTCTCCTCTTTAACCAACTCCCCCTTGATCTTCCTCCCCACAAGAACCTTCTTCCTCTCCGCCGCCTTACAAAGCCCCTGCAAGCCCAAATCACAATCGCCGCACCGCCGTCCCACGGGCAAGCACACGCTCTGCCCCAGTCCTACGAGCAGGCTGTTGATCTCGCGCCACCGGTCGTGCGGCAGCCACGATTGCAGCGCCAGCCGCGTCTCTTCGGGGTTCTTGGTCTTGTTCCACCCCCACATGTTGGTGATACGGTGAACGTGCACGTCGACGCCGATGCCCTCGGTGCGGTTCCAGGCCACGGACATGCAGAGGTAGGCCATCTTGGGCCCGACGCCGGGGAGGGACGTCAGGCCCTGTATTGTGTCGGGGATGTCGCCGTTCCACTCGTCGCGGAGGATTTCTGCAGTCTTTTTTATGTACCTGAACAATTAAACGAACAAGGTTAGCATAATGCCGTGTAAACCCAAGTAGAAGGGCCACAGTAGAGTATAGGGAAAAGGCGTAGAACGAACTTGGTCTTGTTATTGTGAAATCCAACAGCCCAGATCATCTGGTTCAGCAGATTCGCATCTACCGCCAGCACATTGTCCAGATTCAAACCCACCGGCGCTCCGGGCTTGTACGCCGGCAACTCCGCCTGCAGCCTCCGCATCACCACCGCCGTGACCGTATCCTTTGTCTGGCTGGACAGCATCAGCGCTATCAGCGAGTGCAGCCGCTGGTCCCTCGGCGAAGCGTTCCTGTCCGCCAGGCGCTCACAGCCCATCGTGTCCACCGCAGCCCCGTAGGCGACGCCACCCGGCGCACGCATCTTCCTCACGACATTGTACATCTCTTCCCAGTCAGATGGGGGGGAGACTGTCGATTCGCCGGTTTCTGGATCCGAGACTTTGCGGGCGGGTTTGCGGGCACGGCGTGCGCTCTTCGGAGGGGGTGCCGCAGCTGCTAACAAGGCATCGAGCTTGTCGTCTTCGTCCGAGTCGGCTTCGGCCTTAGCCAATTCGGCGGAGAAGGAGGCATCAGAGCCTCTCCTGCGTTTATTCGGCGGCGGGCCAGTGATGCTGTCCTCGATATCGGGCGTCTGCTCCGTCTTGACGCCTGCATTGTGGGCGAATCGCGCAAGGGACGATCGCGTCGTGCGCCGCGGTGGCGAGACAGAGTCGGCGGCTCGCCTCACCAGCTTTGCGGTGTCTTTTGATATTCGTGATGTTCGCATTGTGACGGATGGGCTGGGTGGGTCACTTGACAGCCATGTTGCGGACGGTTCGATGTCCTGGGTTTTGACGATGCTGGTTGTTCGTTTAGGGGGATCGTGGGTCGATGGAAAAGCGTGAATCCCGAAGAGGCGAAAATCCGGGGATGCTGCATGGCGATGGGGGCCGCTATTCCGGCGCTTGCATGCTGTCTGTACCTTGTTTTGGCACTTCTTTTCTACTTGGTACCTATAGCAAAAGGGATGCACAGACAGGTCCTATGATCTGAAAGGCTATATGGAAGCTATTGGTGATATCTTATGGTGTTTAATTACATCTTATTCATGTCTTCTTTATACTCATTCAGACCGATAGCGCTGAATGCAGGGTAGCAATTAAGAGATGCGGCTATAATCGAGGGCTACTCCATTATGGTAAGCTGTGGGATGCTTTCTACTCTATTCGAATATTTACCGTTAATGATAGTTCTGTCAATAATCGACTGATTTACATATCTTCAAATTGCTGCGTGGAGCATGTAAAGATGAGGATTCTATTGTGAGATTCCCTTTCATAAGACAAGATTGGGGCATCAGTTGCCAAAATAAATTAGCAGCTTCAATACAATAACATCACACTGCTCCATAAATCGAATTCCAGCTTCCAAGGTTATTATTCCAACGTAACTTGATATCCGTGAACCATCCGTTACAACGGAACTGTTCCGCCATATTTTCAGCTGCGATTTCCCAAAGTATAGAGTTTCCCCCAAGCCTCGGCTGGCGCCTGTGCAAGACTCCACACCACCGTGTGTTGGGCAGAGGGAGCCGTAATAACGACCCGCTCGCGATTGGCTCAGCCCAACTTGCATCTGACATGAGCTTCCAGAGCATAAACAGGCCTATAAGCTGGGGACAATCTTAATCGCTGCAGCGTCTGATGCCTCCAGCTGCACGCTAACACGGGCTGTTTCGTATAACAGCCGGCTGTCCACCACTTTGTCTGGTGCCGCGCTCAACCCGACAATCTCATCTCCAAACACGCCAATTTTGTTGCGCGTCGAACGCGAATTACTGATTGAATCTGCGTGATTGCGCCTGTATCTACTCGCAACGCCATCTACAGTAGTCTCTGTATTCTCCTAGATATAATGCAGCCCTCAGGGGCAAACAAGGGGTTTTTCCAGCCGCCCCCAATTCTACCCAACCAGTTTTATGACGATGTTTCCTTTCGCAGATGCTTCAATTGTGAGTGAGAGCCAGCCACGTAAACAAAGACAAACAACACATTCCTGCTGCTTGGAACACAGTCTTTTTTTGCCCACAACGAGTACGTGACTAATTGAAAGCTGCGCAGTGTTTCTTCCTTTTAGCGTAATTACCGAAGTTGAGGCTGAAGTTGCCGCTCTGGGCAGGGATGTCCTCTCAGATGAGGTGTTTGGCTGGATCACGGATGCCGAGCGCAACAAGCCCTATATCAAAGGCAGCGGCCGAGATGCCTTTGGCAGACTGCAGGGCGAGCTTGTGACTGGCGAAGGATGGCGCGAGCTGCAAAAGTTTGGCCTGTCTAGAGGGTGAGTTGATTTCATGTATGCCGTCCTTGGAAACCTCTGATTGCTGACCTCTGTCGCGACCACGAATAGCTTCGTTGCCACCGGCTATGATACCCCTTATGGCGCCTTCTCTCGCCCTCTGCAGTACCTGCGCCTGCATCTCTGGGAAGCGTCGTCTGCAAACGTGACGTGCCCCTCGGCGATGCAGGATGGCGCCGCTGCTCTTCTGAGGAGGCACCTGGCGTCTCGACGTCTCAGCGAGACGGAGCGCATTGTTTTCGACGACGCCTACCGCCGTCTCATCTCACGCGACCCAAGCGTTGCCTGGACCAGCGGGCAATGGATGACGGAGCGTACTGGCGGCAGCGATGTATCTCAGACTGAAACCATTGCTCTCTACCAGCCCGAAGATGCCGAGGGTGCCCTTGCTTCGAGAGAAGGCAAGATTCCCCTCGGGCCGTGGAGCGTTCATGGCTTCAAGTGGTTCTCCTCCGCAACAGACTCCAACATGACCATCCTGCTGGCCCGGACTTCCAAAGACAGACTCAGCACCTTTTTGGCGCCCATGCGGCGACACGATCCCAAGGCTAAGACAATGACTGGCCACCCCAAGTCTGATGGAACTCGGCTCAACGGCGTCTGGATCCAGCGACTCAAGAACAAGCTTG